CGATGTTGACCAAATCCGCAGTTCTGTTCATCCTCTGCAGTACTTCTTCATAGGTGACTTTGTCTGTCCATGGTATCTTCAAGATCCTTCTTTATGACCATAGCTCACAAGCCTGAAGTTTTGATAGAGTTTCTGCCTTCAATGTCCACGTTTGTACTCCGTACAAAAGCAATCAGTACACATAACATTTAAGGAGCCTTATTTTTGTTTTCAGAGTGAGGTTATGGCACTTGAACACAGAACTCATAGTCAAGAATGCCATCTTTGCCTTTCCTTTAGTTGGATGAATCTATTAATGGACGCTAATTGCTTTGTTCGTGTTTGTGTCCTAATGTATGCAATAAGCTGTTAATATATGTGAAATATTCTGCAAGAAGTAAGTTATATGCACGTCATCATTAAGGAGATATTATCTGTTTATTCTAGACGTTAGAATTTTTGACTCATTTGGTTAGTTTTCAATTTTAAACTAAATCACCCAATTCAGCCTGTGAAATCAAATGGAGTTTTATAAAACATTTTGGTTCTTGAAATAGAATATTGTTTCCTATTTTTTGTTCTTGTTATATATCATCAGATAGAACATTGACACTTTCAAGTTCTTCTTCATCAACACTCAAGTTCTTCTTCTTCTTGATGTGCCTATCCATTACGAATGTTGTCGATCATCATGTCAATCTTTATCTTATATTTATCTTAGGTTAACACTCAAGTTAACCTAAGATATTTGTTGCTGGGAGAACAATACACACAGGGGCGGCACGGCCCAAAATTGATATGTCACATATCTACCTATTGTTAAGATACAATTGCCGGTTACTTAAGATTATTGTTTTATAAATACATTTTGATTTTAGTTTTGAGCTAAGAATGCCGAAACGTATTGAAAATACTAAAATATCTCTCTCTCAGAAAATGAATGTTACCATTAATCGACCATTACACAGTCAGCACTATTTTCAGTTTTTAACACAATGGAGGTCGTATTCTTATAAAATGTATACATTACGATTTCAGAAAAAACTCATTTGGCCCAAGCTTACTTAGTTCTTCTTATATGGTATAGGATTAATATTTGGTCTATAAAGTCCAATGCAATTCGTCCTAATCTCGATGGAATAAACTAGTTTAGGCTAGGCCAAACTAGTTATTGTTGATATAAATAAGCACACTCCAGGGGATAAACTAGTACGGCCTAGTATAAAGTCAAAATAGATAAATAAATGAGTAAAATAGTATGTAATTAGAAAAATAATCATTTTAATAAAAGCGATAATGACTCGTCATAATTATTAATACACTATGGGTAATACAAACAATCAAAAGAAGTAATAAGTGTTTTTTATACCTCAATTATTAAATTTTTTTTACATCCTTTATTAAAATCTGTTTCTACAAAAAAAAACAAAAATAATCAATATGTTTATCAAGTAAGTAATTAACATAGGGGAGATCAGTCCAGTGACAGAAATCCTTAAGATAAATTTCTAATGTATATAAATATTTGAAATATAAATAACAATTTACAAAGACATTTTACTAACGTATTACAAAAAATAGCAATAGTTAAAATTATAACAACACACACAATTATAAGTTGTAGGTATATGTAGTATCAGTTGTAGCTATAAAATGATATATACATTTATGTATATAAAGGTATAGAGAGGTCTAGAGGATCACGTTGTTTTAGTCTTCCTCACCTTGGTCGCTTAAGTAGGTCTTGGGCAAGTGTATTTGGATGGTTTAGTAGTCTATTTTTGTAAGTGCCACTGAGTGAGACAACGGTGTCTTTAATATTTTGGATCTGAAGATCTCGGTGTATAACATAATTGAGCACGTACCTCGGTGCATTGGTAATATGTCTCAAAACTTTAGATTGGAAACGTTGAAGTTTCAGTAAGTGAGAATTAGATGCTGTACATCATATCTGTATACCGTAGGTCCAAACTGGCTTTAGAACACATTTATACGGTAATAATTTATTATGACTTAGTTTGGATTTTTTATTCATGAACCAATACATTTTCCTTTATATTAATCCTAGTTGCAGTCGCTTTGTCCAGATGTGCTTTCCCCAATTTAGTCGGCTGTCAAAATGTATTCCCAAGTATTTAACATCACTTTTTTTGGGTATTATGGTATTGTTTATGCACACATATGGTACACTCTCTTTGCGTAAAGTAAATGTTATATGTACTGATTTGCTGCCATTTACTTTAATTCGCCACAGGTTTAACCATTTCTCTAGTTCATTTAAATGAAGTTGTAAATTTTGACAGACTGTAACAGGAACCGAGCTAGAAGCCATTATCACAGTATCATCTGCATAGGTAGCGATTGTGCTGTTTACTCTTTTGGGAATATCTGCCGTATAGAGTAAGTATAAAGTTGGTCTCAATATACTACCCTGAGTTACTCCCGATAGAATTGGAGATATGTTTGATAATACTTCATTGCATCTGACCTCGAAATATCGATTGGTGGGATAGGATCTCAGAAGAGCATACAGAGGATGAGGAAAGTGAGTTTTTATTTTAGATAGCAGCCCCTCATGCCATACTTTATCAAATGCTTGTGAGACATCCAAAAAGACTGCAGTGCAGTATTCTTTCTTTTCAATCGCATCTCTTGCTACTTTGGCAACTCTATGTACCTGCTCAATTGTTCCATTTTGTTGCCTGAATCCAAACTGATAATCAGATATTAACTTTTGTCTGTCGATTATAGAATTCATTTTCTGAAGGAGTATCCTCTCAAATATCTTAGAGATAATGGCAAGCAAACTGATTGGACGATAGGATGATAGTTCTTGTGGATCTTTATTTGGTTTCGGTAGTAGAATAATTTGTGCCATTTTCCATTGAAACGGAAAATAGCCTAACTTTATTATAGCGTTAAATATGTATATAACCAACCGAAATTCTTCTTCGGGTAAATTTTTGCAGATTTTTTCCGATATTAAATCATACCCTGGAACTTTTTTAGTATTGAGATGTTTAACTAACTCTTTTATTTCGTTAATTTCGATATTTTCTATAGGAGGTGACATCTGGTAGTGTGCAATTATTAAAATGATTATTTATTTTTACATAGAGTGCTTTGGTGGCACTTAAAGTACAACCAAGGAGTATCATTGCCTTCTTGTACTTGTATTTGGTTGTGAAACAGTTTTTGTTGCATCTGCATCTAAAAAAACCTTGTAATAATCCAAGAGTACCTCATAGCTGCAATCCTTAACAATGTTTCAGGGCATTGTTTTACATCTTCTACCTCTAAAACATATTAGGTAAATTATAATTCCAAAAAGTTAAAAAAAAATTATTAAGAAAGCAACATTAACACCTGCAATATATTTTCTAAAGTACTTCATATTTAATGTCAACTATCTAAAAACCTTCATTATTTGTCTGAAGAGTAATTATAATGATATTTCTGAGATCACCTTTGCCTTTGTCAATATCTGGAATCAATATAGTCATATTATCTCTTATGTGGATGGTTGATGGATCGTGCTTGTCAGAAGTTACGTTGATTGTTTTAGCCTGTTTTAGAAGATTTTCTGCTCCCCTGTTTCTAGCTTTTTAAATGTCATATTTCGATACATATTTTTTTTTGGTTATTTACTTTTTTAACGTTATCATCACTGTATTCTCTCAGATTAACATTGCAATTATCCACTATTACCTTTATTAAGTCATATTTATTATGAATTTCATTTATGATTTATTGGGTCAAAGAGGGAGTAAAAAGTTCTCCGGGTTCTATTCCAAATAATGCCTTGAATGGCGATTGTTTTATCCCTAAATATAAGGTGCGGTTTTTCTAGAATTGGACATATCTCAAACCCTATAACCATCTTATTGAAACTGTGTCTTTCATCCAAGAACCTATTATATCCCAATGTCGATTGGCGTGTTCAATGGGGCCCTGGCTTTGACAGTACATGGGATTTCCGTGTACAATTTTAAGAGACTGGTTAACTCACTTATAACTTCCGAGACTGGCAAACTCACTTATAACATTATTGACAAATTCCCTACGGTTGTCAAATTAAAGAGTTGAAAAATGCATGGCGCTCTTATAGATAGTAATATGTCATTAATATGCTATTATAAGCACCTGTGTCGCTGTCTAGGATGTAAAGCACGTAGTAGAACAAATTTTGTTAGATATTCTTTGTGAACCGTAATTCTCTTTCCATTTCTTTGGTTTATTTTGATGATCACACATCGATAAATATATACAGTCCTATCATTTCTTTTGTAATATTGGCATATTGTTTTTGTTTCGGATAACATCCTGCCACAACTACCATGGCCGACAGTCACATGAGCTGCTTCAATTACATTATAAGGTTCATAGGTTGGAATATAGTATTTTATATTACCCTTCACCCCATGCAATCAGTTTTTTCAGATTTTTCTGCAATTTCAACTCGTTTAACGAGTTACAAATATTAGTCTGATGGTAACATATTATAATGAAAAGACTTTATATTTTCACTTTGTAAAATTTCTGTCAAAAAGTTTTCCCATCATTGTTTTTGATCTGCTTTTCGACTTGACGTAGGTTCATTCATATTAAAAAAGAAGAAAACTTTCTAATGAATTATAATACGTAAAACTTTAACTTTAAACTGCAGTCATTAATTAAACACTTTACGCACGGCTGGCAACTAGATGCAAAATCATGAATTACTTTCGGCTTGGCTAAATTGGTTTAGACAATGCCGTACTAGTTTATCCTGGAGTGTGCGTTTTAATACCAGAATTAACAAGTTTGGCCCAGCCTAAACTGGTTTATCCCATCGAGTTTAGCATAAATTAGTTTGTAGTAGGCTATAAAAATTAATTCTATCACATATAGGATGAACTAGATTAGCCTAGTTTCAGACATTGTGCCCATATTTCGCTACTTTTTAATGCATACAAATAGTCTCATTTAATAAACTGCACTTACTTCTAGCTTCTAATGTTTTGTTTTTTAATTTTTTTCAGATTATTTGCACGATATTCGGTATGTTATAAGTACTAGCGCAGGATCTGGAAATGAAGATATAAGGGGTAAGTTTCAATTATAATACGTTAAAAAAAGATTTTTATTGTTTGTAACTTCATAATTTACAATATATATATATATATATATATATATATATATATATATATATATATATATATATATATTCAAGAGCGCATTAAAAAATTATTTATTGATAGAATAAAAAAAAATAACATAACATAAAAGAACTTACAGATGTAATCGTTTAAACAGCGAAGCACAAACACAACATTTTGAGTGACAGACTAAAAATATTAAAACACAAACACATCTTCATGATTGACAAACTAAAATTCAACTAAAATATTGTAATACCTGATTTTGTTTATTGTCCTACAATTTAATCAGTGACGTACAGAAACTAATATATTTTATAAATTAAAAAGATTTTAATATGTTACAATAAATGGAACTAAGTTCGTTAGCGTCTGTTTTGTTGTTAATAGCATTATCTGTCCTGCTTATATTGCACATTTCGAGAAAAACTATATACATGTATATATATATATATATATATATATATATATATATATATATATACATGTATATAGTTTAAATTAAATTGCAACGTGGTTGCAATTCTTCCATTGCGTAGTTGGTAAACATCGAACTAACCTGGAGTTCAAACTTGCATAATCCATTTTAACATCTGAATATTTAGATATTATTACAATCATTTATTTAAAATATTCCTTAAACATATCTCCGTTCATCTGTTCGTGGTAATAACAGATTTTCTTTGTGAGTAACTGAGTCGTCGATACCCTTAATGGTTGGTTCCTTTACATTAGTTGAATATCCTTGTAGGAATGCTTCTAAAGCTGTATATATATATATATACTTTTATCTTTTCACTTCTTGCTTCAAGGTTCCCTTCATATTACGTTTTATATAAATAGTAAATATTCTTGTGCCACATAATAGCAGCACATAATTTTAAAACAATCTATTTTTGAAAATTATTTCTGGAGTGAAAATGAAAACGTCAAACAACAGTTATAAAATAATATTTTATAATATTTTAAATATTTTTAAATATTATTTTATTATTTGTTAAATAAATATTATTTTCTTCTGTCCTAGTGTTTCTCTACAGGCACTCTTGTCTTTTACATACAATTTCTTCCGATTCAATAAACATTGATGGTTTGCCAAATTTTTCGTAGTTTTGTAATCAGTTGAATTTATGTATAATTTTAAAGTTTAATTTTCTTATCGTAGTCAAACCAGGATCATTGGTAATAGCTTGTAAAACCTCATCCAAGATTAGCTGCTTAAAAAAAACAAATGACCTATCCTACGAATGGCATTTTTAAAAAAATCATCTAATTCATCTTTTTTTGCTATATAAAGTCCCTCCATAAAGTTCAATATGACATCCGCTTCCTTCCAGTTCTCCTGCGGACCTCGGTTTCACCTTTTATGATAAGCTAAAGGATTCTGTACTGGTCTCGTCTAAGAACGTGCCCTTACACACCTTACCTTACCTTACATTACTTACCATGCCCAAGGTATGACAATGAACTTACTTTAATACCTTTCAGCAACTTACAAACGCCATTTTTTGTATTTAACAGAGTTTGGTTTGTCTGCATCGCAGTCTAAGTTATGTGGAGCATTCTTGTATGCAACTACATCTCAAATTTCTCTAGACGATTGATCCTACCACTCTTGAGAGTCCCGGTCTCTATGCCATTTAAAAATACTGACCAACTATAGCATTTTATTTTTCTGTGACGTAATTTTATATATAAACGGTAGTTATAGAGGAATGATTTCATTTTTAGAAACGTTGTGCGGGCTACTTCAATTATGCATATGCATTTAATTTCTTTACTAAACTCTCCCAATGTTTGTTGATTAATCTAAAGGAAAGCATTGTCGTGGGGTAAGCGCCTAAATATAAAAAAAAATAACTTAGAAGCAATAATTTTTAGACCCATTTCTCTTCCTGTCATGTTTACGCAATCCATTATCTCCTATACATAGGTACTAAAGGCTGTCGGCTAAAATAACAATGTCGTTATTGTATCTAAGATTTTCATTTCAAAGTCTTTACTTTGCAAAGCCTATTAAAAAATTATATCCGAGTAAATACTAAATAACAGCAAGATAAAATGCATCTCGGTCTGATGCCTATTTAAATGTAACATTCGGCTGTTGATTTTCCATTTCATCCAGTTTTAAAACTGAAATTCTTGAGCATCTCCTCCGAAGTTAAAATAAGCTCATCCCAAATACCTATTGTATTAAAAGGATTGAAATTTGGTGGGATTCTTTCTGTGTTATCGAGCCCTAAGTGATTTGGTATGCTAGACTATCTCCCAAAAATTTTTGTAGATATCTGGACATCGCGAGTACTTGTATTTCCACACCTCTATATTTGGCGATATTTTCATTGTATTTAACACGCAGATTATTGTTGTTAGGTATCTTCACATCGATAAGTGTTATTTTTTCGTCAGTTTATTAACTAGTACGAGGTCTGGTCTATTGTGTGTTACTCTTTGATTTGTGAGTACAGTTAGGTCTCAATAGTGCTTGAAGTTGTTAATTTCCAAGCATTCTCTCTGGGTAAGATGACAGATGGTTTGCTTGGAGAAGTTCCAGTATCATTTGTCGTTTTGGACTTTGGATTTGAGGTACATTTTTGTTAGTATATTCTGATTCTAAATGCCAAGTAATAGACCTTCTATCTCAGGAAACATCTTTTTTTCTGATGTCAGTTAATAGTTCGACACTATATTGTTGACATAGTCTTGGCTGACTTCGTTGGGATGTCGGTCATGCAAAGGTTTACTCATCTAGGTAAATGTCTCATTCTGCGTCTGAAAATTCGTAGTAAAAAAACAAAAGTTATTAAATTAGTTATCTGTTTTTTTGATTGCTTACTTATATCCACGTCCTCATCGTTGTTCTAAATACCACGGTCATGTCGTTTTTGTTACAGTACTTCGGGGATATTGTTATTGTGCCTTTGTGAGGTTTGTTCGTACTTTTTGTTGAAGATTTTCTACATCCGTTTTTGCCCAGTTAACAATACCAAATAAGTAGCTAACTGCAGAACATAAGTAGATGTTTAGTGCCTTAAACAAATTGTTACTGTTAAGGTGTGAACGAAGTAGCTGTTTTGCCCATCGTATAAACTCAGTAGTTATCTCTGTTTTCATTTGCTTATGGTCAATCTAACGCTATTGCTTTATTCCGAGATATTTATACATATAACTTTTCACTCATGGCATCGATTTTATTGCCATTGTGCATAGCCCCCGAGCCGCCGAGCTGAACCGTTCCTTTGATTATATTTAAGACACTGCACTTAGTCACTGCATTTAGTCAAGACTAAAGTGTATACTAATTATCATTAAAAATATTTTCTACTGTTTTCCAAATCTTCCATATACAATAAATAAATAAGCTTTGATAAAATGAAACGCAGATATCGAGCACAGTTTTATTAATTAAATCTTGCCCAAGTACTTTCGCTTCCTAGAGCATCATCAGGGGCATTCGTCAATTTTGGGCTATCCAACAAGCGCAGAATATCATAAACATAAAATTACATAAAATTGTACATAACACTACACCAAACAAGAAAAAACAGTTAAAAATTATTTAAAAAATTTAGTCGAAGCTACATTCTGGTCGCTAACAGGAGAAAGAGACTGATTCTCTCAGATAAATTTAATAATACATTTTGGTTATTAATTTCATTGATTACAATGGCAAGAATAACACGAAATGCTTGAACGAGGAGAAAACCAAAACCATATATTTTAAGGCAAGCTATACTAAAATATGCATGCCAAATTCGTTTATCTATGTTAGGTACCTTTGAAATGTATAGTAAAGTAAATGCAAAAAATGTTTAAGTTTATTTATTATAATTTTTGTTTTTTTTTTTGACTATTGTGACTTATTTTAATTTTCATTTCTTAAACAATAAAATATGAAAAACATTGAATGAATAACTGTTATTTTTTTCTACATATTACTTTGCGAAATGCTCATTTAAAATTCAGTTAAAAAATAACTCAGTTTTACCATAAACAGCACAAATACAATCGCCAAAATAGTAAATTTAAATATCCTTAGCTATAATTCATTAAAGTAGTCCACTTTGTTATCATTTATATGTATATAACTTTCTTTTTATAGAAACCGTAAATAAGCTGTCAAAGATGGTAACTGTCAACCTGACGTTAGTCTGTCTAATGTTAATCGTCTTGGCTGGTTTCCTGTGTTTCCAGTTCTACAGGTGGAAAGAAAAGAAAAATATAACTTTTGCCTCCTTAAAGGACAAGATTCTAGGAAAGAAAGTAAGTCGAATGGTTTGTACTATATAAAATAATATGTATTTAGGTGTAGTTTTAAGAAGTATGGAGTCAAGTTGCTTATTGTAAGATTTATTTAGTTTTTTTTACTTGACGTTTCCCTGAAGAATTCTTATACCTTATAATAATCATATTCCTACCAGAAAGTTTAGAATGTTAGTCTTAAAGTTACAAGGATTTAAATACTCCTCCATTTTTGTAGTCATTCAAGTACTAGCAAGGGAGCACAATAAAATGGAAGATATAAACTTGCGTGTAGTAAAGAAGTGATAGATCAAAGTCACATTATATGGGCAATAATTTTAATCACCGGGTCTAGACGGGATTTAGTAAATACTTCTGCTGGAAGAGAAATAAGATTTACAAAAGTTATATATAATACTACATTGTAGCTTAAGGCTGCAGTACGTACCAAAGGAAACGATACGGTACTATTTCATACAGGGTAATAAAGTACTGCCAGGAAAACCAATAGATGATTCTTGGTGCATTTCTCTATATAGAGAGGTATTAGACAACATCTCATACAATGCAATCACACGGCGATTTGTATAAGATAAATAGTCAAAACTTACTCTTACTTATGTTCCCAAACGTGGACATTTACAAAAGCAAACATGGGCAAACTCATAAAAACCCAAAGAGCAATGGCAAGACAAATGTTGCACAAAAAACTAATGGATAAAAAGAGAAACGAGTAGATAAGAGAGAAAATAAAAGTGAGAGATGTTAGACAAGAAGTTGCAAAGTTGAAATGGAGATTTCAATGGAAAAGGATTGGGGAGGCCTATGTCCAACGATGGACCGAAGAAGGCTAATTAGATAGAGATAGATAAAAATAGTCAAAACAAGCTGCTGATGGATAGATCGGGAAAATGCGGGGAAAAAGGTATAACACAATTCAAAAACTAAAAAAAACTTTATCGACCATATAATTCTGTATAATTATCTATCCTTAAATATATAATATTTTTAGGTATTTGTAGAAAATATTAAGATTTAAAAATTAAGATTTAGGTCCAACACAAACAAAAATAAATTAAATTTATTTAGTAAATAAATTAAAAATTACGAATAATTATTTTACTCAAAAAATCAATACTGTAAAAAATTACATAGGTACATATAACAGAAATCGTACAATTTTTTTTAATATTGGAGTAAGAAAGTATGGAAGAATAAGTCTATTGCCTTAACTTTTAAAATAAATCGTTTTAAACATAATTAAAAAATATGTTTATCACGTTATTCCTTATCCCCCTTTTGCCGCGTTCATACTGGAGAATTATTAAGTATACTTTAAGCTATTAAATACATTTCATCAACAAATAAGCAAGTGGCTATATGCACATACTCTCTAACCTAAATCGAATCCATCCAAAATGTATTCACTAATCATCTTATCGTCCAAAAGATCCACGACAATTACCAAACTATATTTTTCCAAAATACAACAGTTACTTTAATCTGTTTACCGTTCCATATTTGTATAACAGGAAATGAACTTGCAGACGCAAAACTTGCCCCAACATCATCTGATCCCGCTGTTAACATAAAAACTGGTAAGGGCTTACATTCAAAGAAGAACAAGAACCCAATGGCAACAATATTGGGACACCAACTGCTACGCTTTACATCAAATGTAACATTTAATAGATAGTCCTCCTATCTTTGGCACTACAAGTTTGTCCAGACGAGATCATTTCGTGGTAAGGAGACTTCGGATCAGACATACAAAATTAACACGTGGTTACTTGATGTCATCCAGCAACCGACCTAGTTGTGAAAGCTGTCAATTACAACTGACAGTCAATCACATACTTACCGAATGCTATCAACATTCTGCCAAATGACAACTTCATTGCCTAAAAACATTCAGGAAATAAATGCTTTACTACCGCCGAATTAGCCTTGTAAGCCGCGTTTTGGTAGTATTTTTAAAGGTAATTTATAGTAGAATATAACAAATATAATATCAAATAACAAGGTAATATAAACATATAAATATTTTTTGGGCTGCACACAGTTTAGATTTCGTCAAGGTTTCAGAACAGAAGAAGCCTTATTTAGTACACAAGTTATAGTTTTATGTTCTAGGGATGTGTTATTGCTGATATACTCTTGTTTTATAGGTTCTGATAAAATATTTAATAATGTGTAACACGTAAAACTTCTGTATACTCTTATTCTAAGTTCTGGGTTAAACTCCTAGGTAAAACTAGATAATCGTGATTTACGGTTAATTGCCAACTTTTGCTTAAATCTGACTAGCCAAATAAAAGATGATGACCAGATATTAGAAGAGGTTAAAACTAGTGTCCGTCGAGGTTAAATACTATCTAAGCTGTTATTTAACTGAAGAAACCCTTGTTATTGCAGACACTCTAAAGGGTTGACAGGAGTTGTTCGGTTGAGTTGCATCCAAAAGTTTTGATTAGGAACTTAACCTGAATGCTTGGAAAACAAAGTGGTCAGTAGTCCCAAAAACAAAAAACAGCAGGAGCATATTGAAAATGCTTGAAACTATCTAGGCCAAATATCTAGGTTGTTAGCTTAATAAAAACTATATTGTTCTGAAGCTATTTTCTTGTGGCATTGTAAATTAATTACTATTTATAACTGGGAATAAGCCACATTAAAGATAAAAATACATTTATTGACGTTTCAATTTCCAATTCGGAAATCGTTCTCAAAATACAAATAGTAAATTAAACAAATTTTGTTTTTTGTTACATAGTGAAAAAATTCTTCTGATAATTTAATTTTATCTGACTCATTTATATTGACAATTCAGACATACATTATGCATTTTAAAGTAGACGACTTTAAAATGATATTGCCAATATTTTTGAGTTGCGCTCCTGGGACGACTTTACTTATAAGATAGTTCATTCGATTACATGAAATCAACTTTAACTTGAGAATATCCGTCAGAAAAAATCATAGCATGTAATTCGTCTTTAAAAAGACAAACACATGACATGATGACAGTAAAATTCTCCTGTTAGTGATTCCATAGTAAATTATGAGGGAAAAACCAGGAAAAAAACCTCATAATACTATCCCGACATTGTAAGTATTTGTTCGTGAATTTAGTTTACCTTCAACAAACATCAAAATTCTGATTTTATGTTACGTTATTTAAAAAACATAAATGATGTATCCTCTATATGTTACTGACTTACTAATACTGGTATTTTCTTATTAATAACTTCCTCTTTCAATATTGGTAACCAGATCCTACTACATTCTGCCGAGGAATTTGCGACACAATTGGCCTCATTTAGCATAATTAGAGCCGCTTCTTTGATTTTTCTTTTTTTACCATCCGTTTCTTTTAGGACTATATTTGAATTATTCCATTGAACTCTATGTTCATTATCCCATGCGTGTTTACATATTTGAGATCTATCAAATTCTCTATTTTTAATATAAGGCCATTAAATGTTAGAATAAGTGAACATCAATCTTATATTAAAAATAGAGAATTTGATAGATCTCAAATATGTAAACACGCATGGGATAATGAACATAGAGTTCAATGGAATAATTCAAATATAGTCCTAAAAGAAACGGATGGTAAAAAAAGAAAAATCAAAGAAGCGGCTCTAATTATGCTAAATGAGGCCAATTGTGTCGCAAATTCCTCGGCAGAATGTAGTAGGATCTGGTTACCAATATTGAAAGAGGAAGTTATTAATAAGAAAATACCAGTATTAGTAAGTCAGTAACATATAGAGGATACATCATTTATGTTTTTTAAATAACGTAACATAAAATCAGAATTTTGATGTTTGTTGAAGGTAAACTAAATTCACGAACAAATACTTACAATGTCGGGATAGTATTATGAGGTTTTTTTCCTGGTTTTTCCCTCATAATTTACTATGGAATCACTAACAGGAGAATTTTACTGTCATCATGTCATGTGTTTGTCTTTTTAAAGACGAATTACATGCTATGATTTTTTCTGACGGATATTCTCAAGTTAAAGTTGATTTCATGTAATCGAATGAACTATCTTATAAGTAAAGTCGTCCCAGGAGCGCAACTCAAAAATATTGGCAATATCATTTTAAAGTCGTCTACTTTAAAATGCATAATGTATGTCTGAATTGTCAATATAAATGAGTCAGATAAAATTAAATTATCAAAAGAATTTTTTCACTATGTAACAAAAAACAAAATTTGTTTAATTTACTATTTGTATTTTGAGAACGATTTCCGAATTGGAAATTGAAACGTCAATAAATGTATTTTTATCTTTAATGTGGCTTATTCCCAGTTATAAATAGTAATTAATAAAAACTAGAATACTATATCAGAATCGAACAAACTAGGGTATCATTGATCAAAATAAAACCAGGTTTATGTGGTGGCGATATTAGCACGACGCTACTAACTCTTAATCTAAGCTATATTTTGTTCAATATATTGAACCTTATGTAAAAAAGTGGTAGCATTTTACTAGATGAATGATCAGAATATTAGGATTGACAGAGTTCTTCAGAAATGACAAATAACAACTAAAAAATTATTAATAGAAGGGACGATCGAAGGAAAGAGGGCTCCAGGTTGTAGACATACTTCCTAGTTAAACATCCTTGGACAATGTTCTACAGTAAGCCAAACAACTCTTATAAGAAAAACTGTTGTCAAAGTACAGATTACGGTGATGCTAAGGTTCGTCGTGACCATGGCACTTGAACATTAAAATAAAGTATTTACATCGATAGACATATGTATCTTACTGCCTGTTTGTTATGGACGATGTTATTGTTGTATATTTATATAGTTCTAATTTATTTGTCTTTATTCTAATTTATTGTCTATATTCTAATTTATTAAAACTCACGATAACTAATTACGAATTTATTAGAGTCTTTATTAATTCTAATTTATATTACAAATAAAAATTTATTTACGTTTCGTTACAAGTAAACCGCGTTCCCCGATCTTCTTATGACTAAGTTCTTCAATAAAAT